GAAGCAGCAATCAGGAGTTTTTCAAGAGGCATATTTTCACTGTTTATCACAGTCTGTTATTTCTCCCAGATGGAGAGTGAAACCTCTGAGGCATCAGAAAACATCAAGGCTGGGTTAGACACATATGACTCTACCAACTGTGGGTGTATCTAGCATTCCCAGCAGAGATCAGGGCCTCATTATGCTACTGGACAAACATACAAGAGACAATTCCCACCTGCAGAGGACTTACTACCTAATGACACAAAAGCAGCTAATGAGGCCAGAGGCATGAATATGGTAAACTTTCCTAAATGCTTTTCTCTCACATCATTTCCCTTCCAAGGTTTTTAAGCTCTGCATCTCATCCTCTTTCCCACTTTGAAAGACAAGGAGTATGTGCATGTGTCTTTTGGCACAGCAGATGGTACCTGCAGCTCTCCACATGGAGCAGGCTGTTACGTGACTCTAGCTGCTGCTGACAATTCCTCCTCCAAGGTACTTTGCCATGGAGTGGCTGCTGCTATTCATGCCACGATTCCCTGCTGACTGGCCCTGGCAGAGCTAGGCACAGTACTGGGGTAGCCAGAAAGACACATGGCTGGTGGTAAAGCCCACAAAGCAAATCTGGCAAGTAGAGGCATTTGGAGAGGCCAGAGGATGCTTAGCACCATCACCTGCAGAAACTGCAAAGTTCTCCTGGTGCACATGAAAGAAAACTGCTGGATCGGCCACAGGCTCCATTTTTTTCTCCTCTGTCCCCAGTGCAAACAGGCAGTCCCATGCGACTGATACACTCACTGTTGCGAACTGAGGACTGCAGAGCCCAGGCTGCCCTTTCCTGAGGGCTGGCACTGCCTCACAGTATTTGGGAAACGACTGTTTCTCCACAGCTGCGGAAGGCTAGTGACTCCACAAGGCACAAACCGTGTCTTGGAGACAGAGCTCTGTCCTGCCAGCACTTCCATGGACTTCTTCCTTTGTCATTGTCTTGAAAACGTCTCTAGGGTTACACTTTCAGTCCTCTTAGTGAAGCATATTAAAATTTCAACTGTTCCTTCCACTTACAAGGAAATCTTCTCCCTCATCCCAAGAACCTCAGTGCTGTCCTGGACACCACTGTAAGTAAATATGGAGAAAAGATCTAACTCTGAAGAGCCAAGACAGATGCCTAGCAGAACTGAACATCAGAGATGGAAAGGACCTCTGAAGCTGCACAGTACAAATGCACACAGAACAGCAATGAAGCTGCCCTGCTCAAACAGGCCAGGACCCATAACTCCATCTCCAGCATTCAGCATGCTTCACGTTCATTGTCCCAACCCAAAAGGCAACATTGACTCATGGGAGTTTTCCAAGTGGGTCTCTGAACCCACTGCTCCTGGCAGTCCTGAACTAGTCCACTCTCTTCACATCCACACCCTTCGCACTGGGCCTGGACTGCTTCCCCAGAGCTCTCATGGGAATCACCAGTATCAGCAGCAAAGTTTGACTTCCTTTGAATTCTCCTTGCAAATTAATCTTAACCAAGCTGTAAGAGGCCATGAAAATGTACCAACTTCAAACATTGCTTTAAGCATGAGGAAGAAGTCTCCTGGCATTGGGAACCTGTTAATAACTACGAATGCAATTAGTCCAACTTCAAGGCTCTCATGAGAGATGCACTATCAGCACCTCCCTCTCTTTTTCTCTCCAAGAAGTTTGGCCACACCTGTGACACACACGAGACGAAAGGAACCTTTCTATGCTGCTCAGAGCCAAACCCTACACCTCAAACTTGGAAACCAACAAGCATGCATCTAAGAAGAGCAGCTCTGGCCTCAGGTACCCCAGCAGACTGAGGAGAAGTCACATGGCAAGGGTTTTCAGGCGGGGCTGGAGAGTCAGCAGTTGGATATAACCCAGTCCACAGTGGGCTGTTTTCTGCCTCACAGTGCTGTGTGCACATAAGAGATACAGACAAGACCAGGTCTCCAACAAAACTGCAAGCTGCCCAGAGCCAGTTCGTGGCTGAGAGCTACCACAACATCTATTCTCACTCACCAGGAAATGGTACAGGAACTGCTTTGCTACAGCCACTCAGATACTACATGTTGTTTATAGCTCAAAGCTCCAGGAAAAAGAATCAGTAAGATTCCTCACCTCTAATAAAGTTTGAGCACTTCTGACAAGCATCAGTGCTAAAAGAAAAGCACTGATACAACTAATATTGCTGCTTTTTCAGGTCTCAGTTCAGTACAGATCACGAGAACCCTCCTTCTTAGGCCTGCTGCTGCTACCTTTTTGAGGATATAAGCTCTTCCTTCTGCTGGGCTGAACACACTTTCCCTGGCTCCTCCTGCACAACAGGCTCCCTACTCCTCTGAGAGCACCGGCAGCCTTTCTTTGCGCTTGCTTTATTCAAAACCATGCCTGAGTACAGAGGTCAGAGCCATACGCAGGATTCCAGGTCTGGCTCATGTTCATCTGGTGAAATAGTCTAGATGCTTTCCTCTCTCTAGAGAAAAGACATGACCCACTGTACCCTTTTCTTTTTTTCCATAGCCCTGCGATCCTGCAGGCAATTAATGCAGCCTGCTCTTGCTCCTCCCCTTCCTGCTTCTGCTGCCCCAGCCCTCAGGGGTACCCATCTCCCTCTGCTTCCCTGTGTTGACAAGGGGTCCCAGCATGATGCCATCAGGGCAGGCTGCTAACATTAGTGGGAGTATTTCAGCTCCCCAAGCCAGCATTTCACATTCCCAACACAATCCAGCCTTGCTCTCTCTTTCACTTCTCATATCCCATTACCTCCAGTCTCAGTGATGACCCAAGCAGTGTCCAAGCAAATTCTGAACCGAAACCCTGACAGAAACACAGTCCTATCACTTTCCTTATCCAGAAGTCCAATTATCAAAGAAGTATGACGTGCATTTCCTATTTATCCTCATCCTTAAAAAAATATGTTTAGCCCTTGGCATAGCAGGACGCCAGACTAGTCTGTAGCTGCCTGGGTCACTTCATTTCCTACATTTAAGTGGAGGCACTGTATTTGTTTTTCTTCAGTATTTGGGTACTCCCAAATTCAGTACGTTTCTGAGAACTTGCCTGCTCAGGGGCCTGTCACCACTTCTCTGAGTTTTGAGAAACTGCCCGCCTGCTCAATTTTCCCCAAACACACTTGAGCACATTCAGATCTTTCAGGGTGGGTTTCCACCTTCTGGAGTGTCATTGCTATCCACTGTGTCTTGCTGATCTTTGTTAACTCCCACTCCTTCCACAGATTGTCACCATTTTTTTTTGAGCCTGTCATGAAACTGTGCAAGAAGCTTACCCATCATGACCCCAGCATAAAGTGATGCTGAGATATCTGCCTGTGCCTACAGATAGCCTACAGGATCAGGTCAGAGGTGTGCAACCAGCACCTCATTCAACCTTATAAGATGAAAACTGGAAAAACTAAGAGGTTAAACCCAAACACCAACTGAGTTAACTTATTGTCTGTGATCACCTTGGGAAGCAGAACACCCACGTAAGAGGCTTACGGCATAAAATAAATACCCTTCAAGGACTAAGACGGTCAATTCAGCTACCAGCACCACTGACCGCTTCCAAGACTGGAAGATCATTAAAGGTTTTCAGCACAAAATTCTACACACCAAAGAAAAACGAAAGTTAAAGAACTTCTCAAATAATATAAAAACCTCCACACTGAACCACATAAGGGAGCTATGACAAACTAGCACAGCTGTTTTCCAACTTAATTTAGCAAAGTTCCTCCTCTTAAGTCATATTTCAAGCTGCTTTTAAGATGTGTGCCAAGTGGCTACAGGATCTTCACCTTGCTGTTTCAAGTGACTAATGAGCATGACCCTTTCCATAAACATTTGCCTGTCGGGAGATGGTAAAAGACAAGTACACCAATTTCTAGATGGCCACTGGGCAGCAGCAAGTCTTGGTCACTGATACTCAAGTCCAATAAGCAGGACCAAAGACATACCTGAACCACGATGTCAGCTGCAAACTAAGTCTCATTTTCCTTCTACTTAGAATGAAACTCCAGCTTCCTTTGACATAGGATGCCCAGCAAGGCCAGAAGGAACAAATGGACTCAGACAAAGCAAAGAACACTTACGCAACCAGTTGGGGTTAATATGTTGTTTCAGGAGATCAATGGAGCCGAGGCTGACAACAAGACGCCTTCCAAACCAGAAAGAGACCAGTGGGCCATATTTCTCATGAAGGTTCACCAGGAACTCATGCAAACTGCTGCTGGAAATTATATCTGGCAGGTTGCCATCCCTGAGGAACACAAAGAGGATATCTGGTCATGAACAGCATCCTCCGCCAATGCTGAACTTGATCGATGTGGAGATGGAAACCACTTACTTTTCATCAGTTGGAGCCAGCCCAGGGATACCTGATGCTTGCCTAGATGCCTAGGGTAAAAGAAAATGCATCAGCCTCCTTGAACTTAAGATTTTATACAAGCCCCACAGTTTTCAAGCAGGAGAGCTAGATTTTCGACATCAGTGCTGCTGCACTACTTACAACCATTAAAAAAAAGCTGGATAAGCCACATCTTCAGGCCTCAAACCTGCTAAGGCTTATGAAGCTGATCAACTGTTAAGCGTGTGCCTGGTCCCACTGGCGAAACGCGGATTATTCATCTGGTTAGATGAAAGATCCCTGGGTAAAGATTTAAAGGGTCAGGTCTGCAACGCAGATCTCGTGCCCAGATCTTGCCCTGGGGATCTGCAAGGCGAGCGGATAAAGCCCTTCTAAGAGGGATTCACCGGAGCACGTCGAACACGAGGCGTGCCGAGGCGTGCGGGCAGGGCTGCCCCGCTGGCTCGGCAGGCACGGACGGACGGACGGACGGGGACCCCCTGCAACAAGCGCTCCCGCAAGCGTCAGCCACGTCGCCG